AATTCCAAACCTTTCTGAGTTTTTATTCCTCAACCCAACTCTCTACAGTTCAAAGGATTCTAGGGAACAGATAGAATTTAGGAAACTGAGAAACCCCATAATTATCACAAATGAAAAGTACCAGAAAATACTTCTTTCTAATGAGCTGCCACAAGAGATCTGGGGCACTGCTACATGAGCTAATATTATCAAAATAAGTGTGCCTAAATCTAATCAAGTCTTTAGATCCAAATACCAGTGTACAAGAGAAAATTACATTAAAGGTTTTCAAACTTTGCTATGCATTAGAATCACTGGGGAGCTTTTAAAACATCCTGATATCTTGGCTGCAGCCAAAGTCAATTAAATCAGTCTCTTTGGGGTGGGACTCAGGCATCAATAATTTTTTAATACTTTCTTGGTGATTCAAATCTGCAATTGAGTTTGAGAACTAATAAGTTAAAGATACTGAAAAGAAGCATTTGGCCAAATCCAGAATGTAGGACATTTCATAAAATGGAAGACCCAAGTTCCTCAACAAATAAATGGCATTTTTACAAGAAGGAGGGGGAGGGAAGGGAACTGTCATAGATTAAAAGAGACTGAATAGACTTATCAACCAAACGCAAATGGTAACTACATTTAGACCCTATTAAAAAAAAAATAACTCTGAAAAGACATATTTGAAAAAATTAGGAGAACTTCAATACAAATATTAATGAATTCCTATCAATATTGTTGAGTGTGATAATGGCACTATGGTTATGTTGTGATAAAAATTTCTATTTGTAAGAAATTAACATTGAAGTGTTTGTGCTTTGGGTGGACTAATATGATGTCCTGGTCTCCAATTTGCTGTAAAATGAAAGAGAGAGAGGGAGAGAGAGAGAGACAGAGAAAGAAAGAAAGAAAGAAAGAAAGAAAGAAAGAAAGAAAGAAAGAAAGAAAGAAAGAGGGAGGAAGAGAGAGAGAGAAGGAGAGAAAGAAAGGGAAGGAGGGAATGAGGAAATAAAAGAAAGAGAGAGAGAGAGAAAGGGAGGGAGGGAGGAAGAGAGAGAGAGAAGGAGAGAAAGAAAGGGAAGGAGGGAATGAGGAAATAAAAGAAAGTTAAGAGAGACAGAAAGCGAAGGAAGGGAGGCAGAGAAGGAAGGTGAGAGGAAAGGAAGGAGGAGAGAAGAGGGGAGAAAGGAGGAAAAGGGAAGGAAAGAGAGGGAGGGAAAAGAAGAATGAAAGAAAATGTTCAAAAGATAATGGTTGAAACTGAATGATGGGAATATTGGAGTTCATTATAATATTCTCTCTACATTTATATTATGTTTGACATTTCCCCCCAAATTTTTAAAAATTTAATTCAGTTCTACCTTTCTTCCTGAATAATACAGTCTAAAACCATTTAGTTAGGGTCAAGGAAGGTGAGAGAGAGGACTACAGCCCAACCCGGAGTGGATTTGGAGCCTACGTGGAGTGAAGAGGGTGGCCACAGAGTGCAGAGAAGGAGACTATGGCAGGAAAACTAAACTAATGCATTACTATCATCAATTCCACGGACCCCATTCAGGCTTTATCACCTGTTCTATTTGGGGTCTAAGCCCAACTGAACAGAGTAAGAAGGCATGGGACTGGGAAATTAGCTGCAAACAAAAAGTCTGCAAAATAGTAAAAAAAATATGTCAAATATATAGATATATTAAAGATAATAAAAGCAAGTTTTCTCATTATCAGAAAAAAATTACAAATATGGAAAAGAGAAAGCTAGAATGAACCCTGTAATATTGACTTGGAATGAAGTGTGTTAGTATGAACTCGGTTTCTAATATTTATAGTTATATATACACATATACACAATATACGAGTATATACATGTGTAACTCAAACTAGGACTCTCCTGGAGGTTCAAAACTGGCAGATCTCCAGCACTAAGCAAGACCCGAGATTTCTACTAACACCAGGGGTCCTAGTCTTTATTCCCTGTTAAAAACCCCTCTCACTCCTTCCAATATTCAGCCAAGGAAAAGGTATCCCTGAATTTTAAAGTCTTGGGGAGTTTGAGCATCACAACACAAACTAGTGCGGGTCTTTGCTTTGGCATAGGCTCTTCTTCAGGATCATATTTTTCCCCCCTAAAATATAGAAATCATCCATTACAAAAAAAACTGATGAATGGCACTAAAATTCAAAGGAACAATAACAAAAGTCAGTCACCATGACTAGTCACTAAAGATAATTTGCCACCATAGTTAGAAATAATATGAGTAAAAATAATAATAGCAAGTATTTAAGTCATGTTTACTCTGCACTTAGTACTATTTTAAGCACCTTACACATATTAACTCATTTAATCCTCACAGCAACCCAGCAAGGTAGGTGATATCATTATCCCCATTTTACAAAGCAGTAAAATGAGGCACAGAGAGGTTAAGGGACTGGCCAAAAGTCACACAGCCTATAAGTGGCAGAGGCAGGATTCGAACAAGGCAATCTGACTCCAAAGTTCTGGCTCTTGACCAGTGCCACGGAGTAATTTAAAGACCTTTGAACTGACCTTGTCTCCAGGCAGAACAAAAATGTAACTGCTCCCATTTTCAAGGCTTGTCTATGTGACCCAAGAATGCCGTCTCCAAACGACCTGAGGGACCGACCACACACCCGGAAACGACCCTAGAACAAGGACACCCGTAGTGGGCCCTACGCGGGCACACCCAGTACCATTGCGTTCGGCCACAGCCGTCCCCCACAGCCTCTCCCAGGGGTCTCTCTCCCCAGGAGACGAGGCTGCAAGGGACTGGGGAGGAAAGGACTTCTCTTCCCCGCCCCGCTCACACCTGCAAACGCACCCCTACCCGGGGACAAAAGAACAGCAGGACCCGCCAAAGGTAAGCCACGGAAGGACCTAAACCCACACCTGAAAGTGGGCGCGCAATGGGTGTCTCCCACTCACCCCATACTCACAAAGTTTCCGAAACTAGCAAACCGCCCGCGGGGCGGGGCACAGAAGCCGCTTCCGGGCCTCTCTAGCCGCCTCCCTGACAGACACTCTGTCGTTCGCTCCCTACCCAGCGCGTCCAAGGGCGGATCGCTCATGGTCAGGAGTTTGAAACCAGCCTGAGCAAGAGTGAGACCCCGTCTCTACTAAAAATAGAAATCAATTAATTGGCCAACTAAAAATATATAGAAAAAATTAGCCAGGCATGGTGGCGCATGCCTGTAGTCCCAGCTACTCAGGAGGCTGAGGCAGCAGATTTCGCTTGAGCCAGCAGTTTGAGGTTGCTGAGTAGAGCTGACGCCGACGGCATCACTTCTTAGCCTGGGCAACCAAATGAGACCTTTCATAAAAAAATAAAAATTTAAATCAATAAGCACAACTTCACGCTTATTAAAAGAATTTGGATATGTATTCATTAAATAAGTAAACGAATTTTTTTTTTAAAACTGTACAAATATACAAACTAGGAAGAAAAAATAAATAAATTTGACCTCACTGAAAATTAAAACTACATAAAAAACCATGGAACTGGCGGGCGTGTTCACGCCGTGTATTAAATCTAGCTTTGGAGCCGAGGCGAGCGGACTTTGCTAAGGTCAGCGGGTTCAAAACAGGCTGAGAAGGAGTAGACGAACCGCGTCTCTTCTCTTTAACTAAATAGAAAGAATAATGGTCCAAACTGATAGCTTATATATGATAAAACAAATTAGCCGGAATCAGAGTGAGCGCCTTGACGTAAAGATCCAGCATAACGCGGAAGCTGAGGCAGAAGGATCTCTCGAGCCCAGGAGTTTGAGGTTGCTGTGAGCTAGGCTGACGCCACGGCACTCACTCTAGCTTGGGCAACAAAGCGAGACTCTGTCTCAAAAAAAAACAAACAAACAAACAAAAAAAAACCCAGGAACTAGTGGAAAAGATAGTCAAAAGATTGGTAGAAGATATTTGCAACACATGTAGTCAACAAAGGATCAGTGCACTTAATGTATAATGAACATATACAATTTTTTTAAAAGCCAGCAAGAAAACAGAAAAAAAATGACAATTCCCAGAGGAGAAATCTTGAATGACCAATAAACATAAGTAAATATATTTAATCATTAATAATTAAAGAAAGACAAATTTTAAACCATTTCATATCCACACATTAGCAATAGCACTTGCTGTTAAGGTGACAGTTTTGAAACTCTCATACACAGTTGCTGATAGTATAGATTGGTACACTCAGAAAGCAATTTTGAAATACATAGTAAAATTGAAAATGATACACACATTGGCCTAGCAGCTTCAAAGTATTTACTGGGTAAGAGCTCTTATATATCAATAATAATGTTAAATGAGTGACTAGTCTAAGCCAGACATAGTTTTAAGTGTTTAGGACACACAGCAACAAAAAAATGTAAAGATTACTGCCTTTGTAGAGCTAATGTTCCAGGGGAGACTTACAAAATAAATAAATAAATGAATGAATGAATGAATAAATGAACATTAAGTAAAATAAATGCATAAACTAGAATGGAAGTTGATGAGCACTGTGATTTAAAAAAGAAGAGGAAGAAAAAGAAGAAAAAACAGAGAAACCAGAAGCCCTAGCATGGGCGGGGGCTAACGTCAGTATAAAATAGGAAATAAAGACAGTGTAAGTCTGGTGACATTTTGGCCAACATCTGAAGGAGACAGTTAGCCCTTTGCATATCCAAGAATGTTCCTGGTAGAGGAAACAGCAAGGAAGCCAGGGTAGCTGAGGTGGAGTGAGCAACAGGGAGGGTACAAAAGATAAGATTAGGAAGGCAACAGGTGTCATTTCATATAAGCCCCAGTGGGCCATTGCAAGGATTATAGCTTCTACATGAAATGGGGCGACTTTGCAGGGTTTTAAGGAAGAGAATAACATTCTGACTCAAATGATTACTCTAGCTGCTGTGTTGAAGATGTCCTATAGGGTAGCAAGGACAAAAGCAGGGAGACCAGTTAGAAATCTGTTGCAGGACTCAGTGGGGAGACAGGATGATGTCTTGGACCCGGGGTTACACTTACCCACCTTTCTCGGGAACAGTTTACTTCTCCGGGTCTTAGCGACGTAATCTGGAAAGTCCCTTCACTCTGGTGAAGCCTTCTGTCTTCAGGTCCCACATTCGGGAACCACTTGCCAGGAGTTCCCCAGCGACAGGGTTGAAGACAGAGTGTTGTGCAGGAATAAGAAAAGAGACAGTGGAAGAGAAAGAGTGGGGTCAGGGGACTGGAGGTTTTCCAGACCAAGAGTCCAAGAGTAATTCCTCATTCATATTCATCCCAAGAACAAAAGATCATGGTAAATCATACAAACATGTTCTAAAAAACATCCCACAGGCAAACAATGTTCTATAGATTTCCATAAAGATTACATATCCTAAAGATATCCCACAGGCAAACTTTAAAGATTATAAAGATTAAGATTTTTAGGTGCACAATAATCTCAGCAAAGCTATTTCTAGCCTAAAGCTAAATAAGAACATAAATTTGGGATTGTAGTCAGGCTAGTTTTTCAGCAGGTTGGGTGTTCCTGATTGCAGTCCTGGAACAGTTTTCCACCCCAGAAGAGAAACTATTTTCAGTTCCTCCTGCCCTTAGAATGTCTTTACCATTTGGAATGTCTTTACCATTTGCAGAGGTTCTTATGCGGTGAGTGAGATTCTGTCTCAGAAAAAAACAAAATATATCAACAAATTATTCTGTCATCAGGAAGCAAAGTAAAACAAGACAAAACAACAAATTATAACAAAAGAAAAATTTCAGATTATATGAAAGCATTAATTCATTAAGAGAAAAAGCTAAATTTTGAATACGGTAATAAATAGGCTCTTGGATTGTTTAATAATCTAATTAATGAAGAAGAGTAAATACACTGAAAAGAGATTTAAAGTTCTTGCACATTTGACATAAAATATTGACATTGACAAAGAAAACATAATATACCATTGACAATAAGGACATCTAAGACCAACTAGTTAATAAGATTTATCAGTACAAAGGGATTCTCAGATTAGTCTCCACACAAAATACTTAAAATGTCCTGAAAATCTCATAGCTCATAATTGAAAGAAACTTGATAGAGGTTTACTCAAATGTCATCAATTTAAAAATGCTTTTGATCAACCATGCTAGAGGAAAGACTACGTTATCATTTTATTTTTTCTAGAAAAATTTAAATTATAAAATTAACATACAAAGAAGCAGCCCAAGAATATAAAGCCAACAAATTAGAGAAAAATTACTGTAGAGGTGTGTCAGGTAGTTAAATAATAAAATATTTTATTGTTTTTCTGATTTTTGTTTGTGGTTTGGAAGACTTTAAAATGTGTGATGTGATTTTCCATTCTAAATCTCCATTTTCATATCTATATCTGTATTTGTAATTTTCAATTTTTCCCTAGAGAGAGTCTCTTGAATTGTTTGAGCTAGATCTCCCTCTGTCTGTATTTCTTTGTATTATAAATTTCATGAGGGTGGGCATCTTGTGTTCGTCATTATTATTATATCCAGTCTCCGAACCAAACCCTGGACACAAAGATTGCATTCAGTGGGAGTTTGTATGATGAATGAACTTTTTTTTTTTTTTTTGAGATAGAAAAAAAAAAAACTCTGTCCCCCTGGCTAGAGTTCAGTGACATCATCACAGCTCACTGCAACCTCAAACTCAAACTTCTGGGCTCCAGCGATCCTCTTGCCTCAGCCTCCCAAGTAGCTGGGGCTATAAGCACCCACCACCACATCTGGCTAATGTTTCCATTTTTAGTAGACACAGATGTGAACTAAAGTAGGCTTAACCCCCACTGGCTGACTGAATGGACTCCCTTGTGGCCAAAGGAATATCCTAAAACTAAATTGTCTGCCAGGAAGAGGGAGGTTAGATATGCCTTATCATGCCCCCCTCCCTTCTTGGGGACTTCCTTTGTAACCCATTAACGAGCCTAAGGATATGCAAGACAAATCTGCAGGTCCTCAATTTATATAACAAATCTATGTCTGGTGGCTTGTCTCTGATACCAAACAGCTCCTTATATTAAAACATTCCAAGCCTTTAGACAAAGCTTTATGTCTTTAACCAATTACAATCTAAAGAATCTTTAAACCCACCTATAGCCTGTAAGCCCCCCCACCTTCAAGATGTCCCACCTTTTTGGGCCAAACCAATGTATGTCTCCCATGTATTGATTGATAACTTTACCTGTAACCCCCGTCTTCCTGAAATGTATGAAAACCAAACTGTAACCCAGTCACAGGGAGTCCACTTGCCCAAGGCCTCTTGGCAGTGGCTCCGGGTCATAGTCCTCAAATTTGGCTCAGAATAAATCTCTTAAAAATTGTTTTACAGAGTTTGGCTTTTTTCCGTTTACACAGGTGTTGGGTCAGGAGCCAAGAGGGAAACACACAAAGCCCCAAGTATAGCAAAATGCTGTTTATTTGAGCATCTGGGTGAAGATGAGTGAAGGCTGAAAAAAGTGTCCACCCTAGGAAGGGGAGAGCGGTGGGTTTTACAGGAGGTTTGGATGGAAGTTTGGGGAGGGTAAATTTTTTCTCTGAACAGTAACCAATTCTGCAACTGTCTGTCATCAGAGTTAGATTTACAATCTCTTCAGACTCCTGGGGCTATTGTTTCACAAGCCTTATGATCACTATCTAAGTTTGCCATTAACCGCATTCTGTCCTATACATACTTTTCAGGTTCCCATCAGGAGCAAGCCTAACAGATCTCACTCTTGCTCAGGCTGGTCTCGAACTCCTAAGCTCAAGCAATCCTCCCATCTTGGCCTCCCAGAACTAGGATTATAGGTGTGAGCCACCGCACCTCATCAATGAAGGGTTTTGTTGTTGTTGTTGTTGTTTATTTTAGACAGAGTCTCGCTTTGTTGCCCAGGCTAGAGTGAGTGCCATGGCATCGGCTTAGCTCACAGCAACCTCAAATTCCCGGGTTCAAGTGATCATCCTGCCTCAGCCTCCCGAGTAGCTGGGACTACAGGCATGTGCCACCATGCCTGACTAATTTTTTCTATATATTTTTAGTTGTCCAGCTAATTTCTTTGTATTTTTAGTAGAGAAGGGGTCTTGCTCTTGCTCAAGCTGTTTCGAACTCCTGACTTTGAGCGATCCTCCCGCCTTGGTTTCTCAGAGTGCTAGGATTACAGGCGTGAGCCACTGCGCCCAGCCATGAAGTTTTAAAAACAAATTCAACCTCTCAACATGTATTACCCATCTCCATTTATGTGGCTACTGCCTTGATTCAGGCCCTCACTATCTCTACTCTGGATTCTTACAGTAGTCTTCTCACTGTTCCTCCTGCCTGTAATCTCATTTCATTACAAAATCTATCCTCACATGGCTGCCAAGATAAAATTTCTAGATGCAAATTTGATCATATTGCTCAAATTCCCTGATTAGGGATGCAGAAAAAGTAAGAGCTGTGCCTTCTGCCACATACTCCACTCATCAGCCATTCTGATCTACCTAGTTTTTTGGATGCATTTCACCCTAGTCCTGCTTTTGTATATGCTATTCCTTCTCCCAGAAATTACCTTCCTTTACTCCTTTTCCTGTGTACATTGGCAAATTCCTACTGCTGCTCATTCTGTTCCACTAGTTTTCCTTTCTCTTCCATACCTCTAATTCGACCTAGTATTTACACTTATTTCCTAGATACTATTGACGGAAAAGAATCCAAACTCTGTAAAATAATTCAAAGAGGTTTATTTATAAGCCGAATTTGAGGACCATGACCCAGAGCCACGCCCAAGACGCCTTGAGCAAGTGGACTTCTGTGGCTGGGTTACAGTTTGGTTTTATACATTTTAAGGAGACAAGAATTACAGGTAAAGTCATAAATCAACACATGGAAGGCATACCTTGCTTTGGCCCAAAAAGGTGGGCCATCTCCAATTGGGGGCTTACAGGTAATAGCTGGGTTTATAGATTCTTTGACTAATAATTGGTTAAAGACCTGAAGCTTTGTCAAAGGCTTAGAATGTTTTAAGATAAGGAGGTCTGTTAATCAGAGATAAGCCACCCGACATATTTGTTGTGTAAATTGAGGACTTTCAGGTTTGTTTGTCTTGCCAGCCTTAGGCCTGTCAGTGAGTTACAAAGGATATTTACAAGGGGGGGGGCCATGATGAGGCACGTCTGACCTCATCCTGGTAGGCAATTCAGTTTTAGGGTATCACCTTGGCCAGGAGGGGGTCCATTCGGTCAGCCGCTGGTGGGTGGGAAGCCTTAAGATTTTATTTTAGTTCACAATATGCACTTACACAGCATTTACTATGCTCCAGGGACTATTTTAATAGATTTACATTTATTTTATTTTACTTCATTTCATATGAAAGTCAGTTTTACCTAGTTGTTCACATGACCTTCTCCTACACTTTGAGATTCCAGAAGACAGACATGGCAGTAAAAAACTAACAAAACCGCATAAAAACAACTTTGTATTCTCGTCCCCACCACTACCTCTCCTTTGTGGTATCAAAGAAACCAGAGGAAGGGAACCGACTTGGGAAACAATACATAAGTATTAGAAGCAAAGAAACTATGCAGACCCTCGCGCCCTAACATTTTGCGTGTCTATGACCGTCTGACTTCCAGAAGCTGAGATTTCTCTGCCTCGACGCAATGGGGCTGGGATTTCGGCCCGGGCTTTGCAACAAGGTAATCACCAAGACGCAACACCCTCCCAATTCCTAGAAAGGAAAAAGCTCTGCGCCGCTCCGGAGCCGGCTAGGCTGACGCACTTCCGGCCTTTGTGATTGATCGATTGCCGGGGGCTGCAACCCCGCCAGCGGAACTGGAGCCTCCCGGTCCCCCGAGGTGAGTCTTAGCCTCTCGTCCGGACTCACCCGGCTCCCGAGAGATTTAAGGTTCCGCGCCTAGGAGTAGGCCGGTGGGGGCGTCCGCGCAGGCGTGGTCCCGGCCGCCCTTGCTCACCCGCCGGGACCCTTCCCCGACTTGAAGCGCCTGCGCCATAGGAGCAGGTCCCGCCCCTGCCCCAGGTGGGGCCGTGGGAGCGACCTCCAGAGGGGCGGAGCTTTGCGGCGGCACTGAGGTCTGGAGGTAGAGGAGGAGCCTCTGACTGCGGATCCCTCTACCGGCCAAAGGCTGTACCCCTGTGTACGCATCACTTTTGTTTAACAGCTGTTAACATTAGGCAGTATCTTTCGCATATATTTTTTCTTTAAATCCTGTAAAATAAATTACAAGTGTCATGGCTTGTCAGCCCTAAATAGTTTCTAATGCATCTCTAAAAAATTAAAGACATTTTCCTACATAACTACAGTATTATTAGCACACCCAACTAAGTGTAGGAAGATTCTCCAATATCATGTAACAACCAGTTCATGTTCAAATCCCTCCTTTCTCCCCCAGTTGCCCCACAGATGTCTTGCAATTGGTTTGTATCAACTAGGATCCAACTATGTAGTATAACTATTAACACTAATAAGACTATTAAAACTATTAAGACTCTTACTGACAATCCTACCCTTCCCTCTCCCCCATCCCTTTGCCTTGTTAAAGAGGCTGACTCCTCCAGTCCTGCCTGTAGAGTCTGGGGAGACTCCTCCTGCAGAGAATCCCCACTTGCAGATTTGACTTGTTTCCTCATGGGATTAAAGTTGTTCCTCTGCTTCCTTGCCCTTGTATTCAGTTATCCTTTGGATTTATTTTACAATACAGGTGGTTTACGATTTACATTATCTCTTTGTTTTTGTTGCTAAATATGCTGAAGCTAATAAGAAAATGCTCTTTTATGTTCTTTCTGCCATGTTTTTAGATGAGTGAAGGAAAATGGGGACACATCAACTGCAATTGTTTCACTCTTTGCTGCCTGACACATAATAGGCACTTAGTAAATATTTATGAAATGGATTCCTTTGTGGATTACAGGTAGTGCATAGAAACTGAATATTGACTTTAGGATGAGCTCTCCTACTTCCTCCGGGAGTATACCTTGTACACACCACAAAAATTATGTCTTTTTTTTTTCATTGTACTGTAATTGTACCATAAACTCCTCTGTATTCCCAGCTCTTATCAGAGCTCCATAAATGTCTGAACCACGTTTACAAAGGTTGAGCTGTTTCTCATTTCATTTGTATGTATTTTTTAAAGTTTGTAGAACACAGTAACATCTTACCTAAGTGAAAGTCTTTCCCAGATTCAATGCAATAGCCTTCACCACCCCCTTCTTTCAACTTTTGCCTTTTTTTACTTCCACTCTTGCTTCTACCCTAATTCCCTCAGCTCATTCTCCATCCAGTAGAAGAGCTTCTTAATACATAAATCCATTCTTGTCACTTCATTTCTTTATAGCCTTTGACGGTTCCCTTCACACTTATGAAATCCAAACTTCTGTGCCCTGCACTATCTACCCCAGCTTGGAGGTAAACACTTTAGCCTCCTTTCATTTCTTTGACCACAGCATGCCCTCTCTCAGAACCTTTGAATAGTGCCAAGTGCTCTCCCTGCCACCCCAAACCCATAATCTATGTGGCTCACCCCTTTTGCTCTCAAGGGCTCAGCTTAAATGTTACCTCACCTCCCACCCACCACATCTAAATAGATTCTCCATTTATTTGATAATTCAGTGCCTGGT